CTTAGCTTGAGTGGTTATATAACCAATAATAACCAATAACCAGTAACCAGTACCCCCAATTGAGTGGTTGAATAACCAATAACCAGTAACCAGTACATAATTGATTGGTTAGCGAACCCTGGATCCAATATTGGTGGTTGATGTTGGTCTTTAAATCTTTAAATTCCCTTTCTTTTTTAGGTCTTTGAAGCTTTTGTCACTTATTACTTGGTGCTTTTGCTGTCTTTCACGTCTTTGCAAGAACTCAACTCACTGGACGGAGGGCATATATATTAAATTTTACTGTCAAAAATAATGATGATGTGGGAGCGTCTCTCCTTGTGCTTGGGGCCATTACTTGTTGTGCTGCCAGTAGTAGAAGTAGTATCTTTGTCTTTGGCATCGTTGGAATCTTTGCGGGGTGCAACTTCTCATACTAATAGTAATAGCCATAAACAGCAAAGAGCGATTGAAAGGAGTCTGGAGATTGCAAAGGCCCAGGGCTACGACACTCTGTTTGGGAGGGACGCCATTTGTTGGTCCACACAACAACAAGAACGACAGAGACTCGTGCCGTGTCCCGTGGGAAATGCGCTCGTCGGCGAGGCTCCAACACTATCTGACGACGACCGTGTACTACGCACAGGAGTGGCGTACAACTACACGGCAACGGTGGAACTGAACTTGACCAGCTTGGGGTTTGATGTATCATCATCATGGACATCAGAAACAATAGTAGATGTGGAGGTCTCCTTTGTGGCCTGTGGGGTGGGACTCTTGGGGGGAATGTGCAGTCCACAAGTGGTAGACGACTACAATACAGCTCAAAGAATACGTGGAACGCAGCAGTCCATGTCCATTCCACATTCTGTGGGACAACAATTGATCCAAAGCCCCTGGGTAGAAAGGCAGCTGAATATGTCCAACGATACAGCTGGTGCCAGTATCCATCAATTCCAGGAAACAATTCCATTCCGTGTAGAAGTTCCGGGAGACTATGTTGTCATTGCCATGGTACGGATCAAACAAGAACAAGATCAACGAGTGCTGGAAATGGCCAATCATGCCATGACAGACGAAACCAAAATACTACTACGCTTTCAGGAACCCGTCCAAATCCAAGGAGTGACACCAGAAATTCGAATTGGTTCCTACGTGACCATTGCCATGGGAGCCAGTGTCTTGCTCTGGCTACTCTTCCAATCCATACGATATCGACACTCCCAAGTACTGCAAGTTTCGCAGGGCCGATTCTTGTCCGTCTTTCTCTTGGCGGGGGTCATTGCCACCACGGCGAGTTTTCTCTTGGATCCAAAACAGGATGCCTACTGCCAATGGGGGGCACCTCTCGTCCTCTGCAGTCTGCAACTATTCTATGCCATTACACTGGGGCGTGTTTGGAGGATTCATGCCATTGTCAGTCCAGCCGTCATGAAACTCACACATCATATTACTACAAATACAAATACTACCGACCAACGTCGTCGTCGAACCAGTACCACCAGTACCAGTGATACCATGATGGAAACGCTCTTGTTTCGACCCATTCAAAAACTCACCTCCTACGTCGTCACGTGGGAAAACCAGAGTCGACCCACGTCCCTTCGCAAGAGTATTTCTGAACTGCAACTCGTCTTGGTGGTGACCCTGTTTACCGTCCCCCAAGTTCTGTTGCAATTGCTCGGTGCCACACTTCAACCACGACAAATCACATTCACTACAACTACTGACAATGACACGGCACGACAATACTGTCGCAGCAGCACGGCCGTGGGCGGCTCCTTCTTTTTCTACGGATGCCTCGTATTCGTGGGACTCATGATCAGTCTCCTCCTCATGGCACGATACACAAGACGATTGCCCAGTCTCTTTAATGAATCACGTGTCATTTTCGATTCCGTACTGTCGTCCTTGACATTGTTGGCCGTGGGAGCGGGATTTCTCTTGATTGGATCTGGCACTGGCACTGGCAGTCATAATAATGATCCGTCCCTGGAATATCTGGTCTGTGTCATGGTCATTCTCTGTGCCACATTGCAGGCATCCTTGCGCCTCATGCTGCCCAAACTCAAAATGGCATGGCGGGGAGAAACCATTGTCGTGTCGGAATTGGTCTGTGAACATTCTCGGTTGATGCGACAAAAATTGGAAAAGTATGCCAGTCGACGAAAACAACAACAGCAACAACAGCAACAAAGCAATGGAGATCATCATCATCATTGGTGGACCCACACGCGGTCGTCGGCACAGAGTTCCGAGAATCAAAACAACAATAACAACAACAACAGCACCAACAATCAGGATAGTTTTTCCACAGTCGGCAGTGTCTGGACCACACAACTGCGAGCGACCACCAACATGATGCCAGACGAGACGAGCCGCGGATTCGATGACACGACACGAGACGACAGTGACTGTCTTTCGCCGCTCTCAAGAAACAAACAAGAGGACGACGGATCGAGTATCCGAACTTCCATGGCAGTCGTCGATGGAGATGACGACAATGAAACGGAGGATCCTCCGGAAAAACGACGCAGTACCGTACGTTTCAACGGCGAAGATCTAAATGACTCGGAAAACAATAACAATAACAACAACGACACTGTCCGAAAGGTAACTCGGCGTCGTCGTCACAGCAGCGTTCGAGCCGGCAACCACAACAACAATAATAATCCGCCCCCTTTGATGATGGTCTCTACGAGTCGGCCACCGGAATGGAAACTACTCTTGAAAATGATGGATCTCGAACACAGTTTATCAGCCATCAACAAGAATATCATGTCCGGTCGCCCGGTGTCGGAAGGAGACTGGGAAGAAGTCCGAGCCATGTTATCTCGGTTGGGACGAATCTTTGACGAACAAATCATTTTCGAATGGGACCAAGAAACTGCCGCCGTTCGTAGACCGCAACCATCACGAGCTTGCGTCGTCGAGACAAAAGAAGACAAAATGACAAGAGACATTTCGTTGCGCATTCTAGACTTGGTTTGCGAAGACGAAGCTGCGGAAGATGTGGAGGATTCCATTTCCGTGTACATGAACGCTTCGTTGCATTCAGCGGCAATAGAAGAAATGCAGAGCACACACTTTGGCACTGCTACTAATCCACTGGCAGTTTCTCCACGGGAAAAGCTACAAGAGCCTGATTTCAGCAAACTCGGTGAGGTACTGTGCGATGGACCGTTGCGGTTCAGCCCGGAAGTCGCGGAACGAAGCATAGTGCAACAGGTGCAGGCACTCCCTGTCATGGAACAGGAGTCGTGCCTGCAGCTGAAGAAGGATTGGGAAGATGATCTCGATCATTCTGCAATGGAAGGAGAATCCCATGCACGGCAAAAATTGTTGTCGGATGAAATGATCCTCCGCTTCCTCCGTCATTCCGAAGGTCGCGACGCCAGGCATTTGCAACTGGCGACATGGAGAAAAATGAAACAGTTTGACCCAAAATACCAGTCTCTCACGGCTAAATCCTTGGACGAACAAGTGAGCACCAAAACTCTCTTCCCACTTCCTGGCATCAAGACGTTGGAGGGTGGCTGTGACTGTTTCTACATGCGACCTTGCCGTTTCAACCCAAGAGACGTGTCGACCACATCAGTCATCAACAACTTGGTTTACTGCATGAGCACAATGCTGGAAAAAGAGGATGCTTGCACGAATGGGATTGGTTTCGTGGCATGCATGGATTCGTGGACAATGAAGCACTTCAGTCCCGACTATTGCTTCCAGTTCATGCAAGGGCTCCAGGGGTACTTGACTCCTGTCAAGGTAGTGCTCTTCCTGATCGTAAACCCGCCACCGTGGTTCGGAAAGGTATGGGCTATTATGAAGCCAATGCTGTCCAAGGAGTTTCAAAAGAAGGTGAAGATGATACCTGAATGTCAATTGGATCAGTATCTGGAACCGGGCTTTCAGCAGTACTTGCCAGATGACATGATGACGGGGCAAGCAGACACAGGCGAGCTAGTGAGGGATTGGCTGACCTATCGCAACTATCTCGAGAGCAACACTGTGGAGACATTAAGCAATTCTGCTAGCTCAGAGGATGATGCCTTGTGCAGGAGGTGTGAATGGCCGTGATGACTTGTGCAAGATGACCTCTCACTGGCTCCTATCTAAAGGAGCCATGTCCTCAAAGCACCCCTCCATATTGATGTTGATGCCGTTGTCCAGCTAAAGATGACTGCGACACAATAAAACAGTTCTTCTAGTTGTTTAAGTACCTATAGAACAATGTAACATAGAATCGAATCACTGTTTTGTCGAATTGGTGATATCAAAAGATCCATCTGCTCCAACCAAAACATCAATGGTGATTTCAGAGAACGCCTCCCCAGCTACCAAAGAATACAACACTGTTTGGTTGGCGGCTGTCAGAGTGATCCATCCAGGGATCTTGACACCATCACCCCAAATGTCAGACACAACCAGTCTGTAGGCTGCGTCAGTGTTCACTTGTAAGAGAGAGGAGTAAAGAAAATCTTTACCGCCGAGTGGACCACCTGATTCCAATGTGGCCCAAATACCAGTTGCATTGGTTTCCTTCTTCCAAACCCATGATGTCTCTTCTGGGAAATCATCAGTTTGGATGTTCAGCATGACATCAGCACCTCTGGTTGGAAATCGTCCAGGCCAATCCGGTGGAGCTTCTGTGAGGTCAGCACAAGTGGAAACAGGAGGAGTTTCATTTTGGGAACAATCACACCTTAGAAAAGAGCAAAGATGCTCTGGGACAGTCCCTGAAAACTGATTCCCATACAGTTTCAATCCCATTGATGCATTCAGTTGGCTGGGCAGTGTTCCTGTCAGGTTATTGTGTTGAAGACGCAGAGATGTCAAAGATGTCATCACCCCAATTTCAATGGGGATTTTTCCAGTGAACTGATTGTCAGAGAGGTAAAGCTCTTGCAACGATGTCAATAGCCAAAGCTCCATGGGAACTGGGCTAGTGAACTGGTTGCCATCCAACCAGAGCCTAGTCAAAGCAGTAAACACGCCAAACTCAGAAGGAACTGGACCGGTCAACTGGTTACCATGAAGATAAAGCTGTTTCAATGAGGTCAGGAGCCCAAGCTCGGAAGGAATTGTCCCCGTCAAGCGATTTTCGTTGAACCTCAGCACGATGACAGCCATCAAAAGGCCAAGCTCGGATGGGACTTGACCAGTGAGTTGATTTTGATGCAAAGATATTTGTTTCAAAGCAGTCAACTGTCCAAGCTCAGAAGGAACTGGACCGGTCAATTGATTCTGATAAATCGAAACTTCTTCCATTGAGGTAAGGAGCCCGAGCTTTGAAGGAACTGGTCCGGTCAAATGATTAGTATCAAGATATACGAGTTTAATAAAGGAAGTGGGTGAGACACGTAGAAAGTGTACTAGCGCTACAGCCCAAAAATGGACCAAAACCGTCTATAAGCAAATGACTGTCTCAATGTCCGATTGACCCATAAGTAGATTAATACGAAATCGACCTCAAGTACCATTGACTCATAGCATGTTACCCATACTGACCACATGATTTAACATCACATACCCTATGTTAAACGTGTATTTCATTTTCGTTCTACTTTTTGTGAGATAGTTAAATATTTTGGTCCATTATTGAGTCCCGTTAACTCTGCAAATAGAGAGTGAGACAGAAGGTTTCCGATATTGTACTGTTTTTGCTATAGTATCGCTGATGTCTCAAAGCGATGGACCAAAACCAACTTTATACCTGTAGCCGCTGCAATGAGGTCAGGAGCCAGAGTTCGGAAGGAATTCGATTGGTCAAATAATTATTTGATAAGATAAGCCATTCCAATGAGGTCAGATGCCCTAATTCAGAAGGAATTTGACCGGTCAATTGATTTCCTCCCAAGAAAAGGGTGGCCAAGGAAGTCAATAGTGCAATCGCAGAGGGCATTTGGCCTGACAAGTGATTGCTTTCCAAGCTAAGACCGGACAATGAAGTCAATAGAGAAATCTCCGAGGGAATTTTGCCAGTGACCCAATTATTGTACAAATCCAAACTTGTCAATCCAGTCATCTCATAAACTTCTGTTGGTAACAGAGATGAAAGTGGTCCAGCAATGTCATTGGTCCCCAAGTCTGCAAGAGACACGAGAGACAAGGAAGTCAAGAAGGAAATCTCAGGTGGCACAAATGGGGCAAGGCCAGAGAGCTGCAGGTCTTGCAGATGCAGAGATATGAATTGTCCATGGTTGTCGCAAGAACTCTTTTCCCATGGTAATTGAAAGAACTTTCCATCCAAAAACCATCCAAATTCATTGGAGAACCAGTCACACTCTTCCACTGTGTCATCCATCCATCCATGGCCCCTGATTAAAGGATTCCAACTTTCTCCCTCAAGAGCATAGAAAAAAGCAGCTAGAGCAAACAGCTGTGTCCTTCTCCATTCAGGCAAGTTTGTGATGTTTTGGTGATTGGCTAGCCATTGCCATGCTCTCCATGCACTGAGGGGTCTCGCTGCCATTGTTGATGCTGGCCAGAGTGTAGTCAGGGAGACTATCGAATAGCAAGTCTAGAACCGCAGTGGGGGCAGATGATGGTACTCCAGAAGGAGTCATGGACCCAAAAACCGTCGGAGTGTCTGTTGATAGGGAGACAGCCACTTCTGGCTCTGTCTTTTGGGTTCCTGCCACGGCTCCCACAACGACTGCTGCCACAATGAACAACAGGACAAAGAAAAGTATAAACATCAGCCTCTGTTTCTTCCTCTTTTGTTCTCTCTGCTGGACTTGCTGTAGATCGACAGGATCTGCAGCGGGCCTTGTTTGTTCCTCCTCAGGAGCTTCTAGAACAAGATTTGCCACTGCCAAGTGTTGGTCATTTGTTGATGGAATGTTCTGGTTGGTGGTGGTGCTGTGTTGTCCCACATCATGCGGTTCCTTCAGCGCAGAGGAATCGTCTGGATCACCTATCTTCACTAAGCGTTCACCCTGACCAGTGGCACTGGCACCAACGAGGGAGAACCTTAGGGTATTGGCTCGTTGTAAGGCTTCTCCCGGTGCACCCTTGTAGGCCCCTGGTCTCAACGGCTGATGTTGCCTCTGCGGAATATTTTCTGGTAGTGCTTCTGGCAGTGATGCTGGAAGTACTGCTGCAAGTTCTGCACCTTGCCGATTAATTCCTACACCTTGTTCAGTTGAATTTGTGGCATTCCGGGAATTGTCAGCAGTTTCATATTTTTCTACTTTGGCAGTTTCGTTGATTTCGATTGCGATTTGCATGACATCGTTGTTGGCCGTGTTTTCGCGTCCTTGCGCGAGCCCCCACATTTGTGCTGTTGCCGATCCTTTGGCAGGCATACCCGCAGCAACTGTCTGCCCGTTTTGAAAAAACAATAGCCTGTGGCTTTGTGGTTTGTTGCTGACCCGAGCTTCGCTGCCAGTACATGTAGAAAGTGTCGCCATGGCAGAATCGGTAGCAGGGTTGGTAGTGCCATTATTATTGTCACGGAAGTTATTTTCAGCGTTCACTTTGGAACTACTTCCTCTGCCATGATTGGCATCAAATTTTTCCATTTTGGCAGCTTCATTGATTTCCAAAGCCAACTGCATGAGGTGGTTGCTAGCAGTGCTTGGTTTTTCTTTACGGATATCTTCTTTGGCATTGAGCTGTTCGGCGACCGCCAAACTGGCCTGATCTGCCACAATTTTCATGATTTCTTCTTGGTCATCTTGCTGTTGTTTGGGTTTACTCTTTCCCTCTTTCATCCTGATAATGACGGCTATCTATAATGGACTGGAGTCGAGTGACAGTCGAGTCTATCGCTCAGTTGTATGTCTATCGTCGGACTGGGATGAAATTTGCGCACCCTCGTCATCGGTGATTGAGGTAAATATAGAGTTAAAGGTATTTTTTACTATTATGATTTTCGTACAATTGTAATGTTACCGCAGCTACCTGAACCGACTTCCTGACACAGCATGCACGCAGACCAGGTCCATCCCAACCTCGCGCGTCTCCCCACGGAGGCTCTTGATTGTGAACGATCACCCTACGAATTTCTCCAATCGACGACACTATAGCTACTAGCTAGTAGTCTGAATGACAAAGCCAAGCAAACCTGGTATCAATGAACCAAACACAGGCAAAGAAGCAAGTGACGGTCCCGGCGTCCCGGCGATACAACCGAGATTGGTAGTCACGAAACTCCTTCGGCGGCAACGTTATAACCAGTAGCCTACTACACATGACGGAAGAGAAGGAAATCAAAGAAGCTACCAGAGCCAACCAGCCAACACCGGGCTACTAGCCAGCGCCACACAATGGTCAAGAACGAGTAGACCACAGAAACCAGAGCTAAGAAGAGACCGAAAAGCAAGGTCCAAAACCAGCAAGGTGGCAAGAACGGGACTAACCAAGACAACTATGTATACAAGAGCGATACTGTCAACAGAAACACTCAGCAAGAAGAGTACGCATATGAAATGAATTGGCAGGAGTTTGGAAGCAGCACCCAACAAAGTTATGACATTCTTTCCACTTGCACCATCTACTTTCTTTTTTTAAGGAACGGCAACAGACACAGGTCCTTGCAGATTGCAGACCATGCCGGTACGAGGGCTTGAAACAGAGATCATGCAAGGGTTGTGAGAGTGTGAGAGTGCACTAGCAATACCGGTACAGGCAACTCTGCCCGTAGCGCTACCGTACAGTTGTGATACCACTACTAGTACCACCAAAAGTACTGGTAAGCCACAATGGCTTCAATCCAATTACTTACTTAATAAAATGGGGTGCAATGACGATTTATGTGGAACGACATGCGTTAATGCCTGGAAACGCGCATCGTGCCATTCCATCATTCCAGCACTCTCGCCTGGCACCATGGAGCAGCAGCAAAAGATCCATCGAGTCGAGTCCGAAAGAGGAGAGCAACAGTCAGTTGTTTTTGTAACAGTCAGTTGTAGCTTCTCTGATTTCAGGATCAGAGATCATGATGAAACAAAGTCAACAGTGAAGACGGGAATATGAACGATGATGAAGTTGAGTCTGTCGCAGCCACACAGTCGGAGGATCAGTCAACTGCCGTAGGCAACAGCGCCAATGAGAATCCGTCAACCTCCCGAGATCGACACACTAGTACAACAGTAAGTCCCAGCACGTCAAAACCAACAACTGAGGATGCTGACCTGGAGGTAGCTGACAGGAAGATGACTCCAGAAGAAAAGGCCCACGCAGAAGAAATACTACGATTGACGGGAAACAGTGCTGCACTTGACTTTGGCGACAGAAAACCTGCAGCCAAGGTGACACCAAGAAACCAGGAGAACATACCGGTAGACGAAATGAGAAACGCAGACAGCAGCAATAGCAGCATCCAACACGCTGATTCTGCAATTTCAGCTCTTACTGGCATTGCCGCCCGGTTCAGTGACAACCAAACGCTTGGCCAAATGACCTTCTTCCCAAAGGAAAAGCAGAGTTTTGCAAACGGCACCATGGGAAAATTGTCTGCGGAAATGCCAGCAAGCGGCAAACAACAGCAAACAAATTACAGCCCAAGTGAGAACAATGCGGGTTCTAGATATCCTCCCCTTGCTGCCTTGGCAGCACAGTTTGATGAACCCCAAAGGAGCGGTCAACTTTCATTTTTCCCCAAAGAATCAAAGAAACAGCAATCCCTGCCTCACTCTATCGCAGTGGCACAAGCAGCAACGAACAACAACCTCGGTGCGGATCAAGACACTCCACCCAAGGATGCAACTGCTTCAATCGATGAAATTACACAACAGCAGCTGCAATCTCAACCGGGTGCATTCTCGCAGGCTCCTGGCGAATCATGGCAGCGTACACAGACTCTTGACTATGACCTACTGAATGCTCCTGTGCATACAGCACCTCTAATACTAGTGCAGCATGACCCCACATCTACTGGTACTAGTGTTAATGGGCAAACTCAAAATTCAATTCTACCGGCTGCCAATACAAATGCAAATGCAAATGGGCCATTGGTGCAAGCGAATCCAGTTCTAGGAGACCCACAAGATGCAACAGATATGATGCAGGCTAGCCCAGTGGATCTAGAGGCAGCTGAGGAAAGACAGCAACAATGGAAGAGACAATGGCAGCAGTTGATTCTGGCTACCTGTCTTTTGTTTGCTGTGGCTGCAGTTGTTGTAGGAGCTGCCGCTGGCGCACAACGAAACAAGGAGCCTGTTACAGTCATCAGGCCGCGGACTTCCTCTCCATCTCTGTCAAGTGCTCCATCGATGTATCCATCTGCAACTCCATCCTCTTCCATGGCTCCATCGTCCTCGGTGGCTCCAACTAGAGCTCCGTCCTCTTCCACGTCTCCATCTTTCTCTATGGCTCCATCTTCATCTATGGCTCCAACTCTAGTACCTCCACATTTGAAGGCAAAGGATTGGCTAGATCAGCACCCAAACATCAATGATCTGGCTGGCTGGAAGAAGACTCAACTCTTTGCCTTGGTTACTGTCTTCTATTCCTTGGGAGGAGAACAATGGCCTGCTAATGTTCGGCGAGATTGGTTGGATTACTCCGAAGACGAGTGTTTGTGGTACTCAAGTGGATATCACCCTTGCAATGAAGATGGTGCATTTACTTCTCTCTCCCTACAAGACTTGTTTTTGAGCCAGTCTCATATTGCCCCTTCTATACCATCGGAGATTGCTCTCTTAACGCTGTTGTCCCGGATAACCCTGGCCAACAACGATATCCAATATATGATTCCTTCCGAGCTTGGACACATGTCTCCATTGGCTTCCTTGCGATTGAATGGGAATCAGTTGTGTGGCCAAATTCCTTCCGAACTGGGACTGCTTACGGGCTTGACAGGTTTGTGGTTATTTGCAAATCAACTCTCTGGCCAAATTCCATCCGAAATAGGACAACTTGCTGCATTGACATACTTTTCTCCGCACACAAATCATTTAACTGGGCAGATTCCTTCCGAGTATGGTCAATTGACGGCTTTGCCAAATTTGTCCTTGCGAGGAAACCTGTTGACTGGCCATATTCCTTCTGAGCTTGGACAATTGATCAATTTGATGTGGCTGTATTTGAATCAAAATGGGTTGAGTGGCCCAATTCCTTCAGAGATTCGACAACTGACTGGCTTGATGGAGTTGAGGTTGTTTGAAAATAGCTTCTCCGGGCAAATACCTTCCGAGTTTGGTCAATTGACGGCTTTGTCTTCCTTGTGGTTGGATGATAATAGGCTGACCGGCCATCTGTCTTCTAAGCTTGGGCAACTGACTGCTTTGACTTGGTTGAAGCTTCATGAAAATCAATTGACTGGCTCACTGCCTTCTGAGATTGGAAAATTGACAGGTTTGTCAGAGTTTC